TCCCCTCCCCTCATCGGCCCTTGGCGCGCGCATCAGCCTCCACCTGCCGTGCAAGTGCGTCAATATCAAAATCAGGCGGCAAAATGGGCGCAGTCGGATCATCCGGATCCGCCAGAAACTGCTGGTCCTCCATCTGCTCATCAAAGTCCCGTGGGTCGTTCAGATCCACTTCGAAGCGCTGCACGGGCAGATCTTCGCCTCCTCCTCCTCCCCCCCCAAAGATGGACTCGAAGAAGCCGCGACGGGTGGTGGAAGATGATGATGATGATGATCGAGACGAGGCGGCGGAAGCGCCGTTGAGCCCCTCCACCAGCTGGTCTGGTCCTCGTAGCTCGCCGGTGTACGGGTCCCGGTAGGTAGAGCCCGGGGGCAGGGGGGCGGTGGAGCCGTCCTGGAGCGGGTGGGTGTGTATTGGGGAGGGGTGGGTGAGTGGGTGGGTGAGAGGGTTGTGCCGCTTTTGGTGGAGGTAGTGATGATGGTGGTGGTGATGATGGTGGTGGTGATGATGGTTGTCACCTGAGCATCAGGCAAGGAACTGGCGAGGACGGAACACGATGCAACTGGGTTTGTGTGGGTTTGTGTGGGTGTGTAGATGTTTGTGCTTGCTTGGGTGTAAGTATGCGGGTTAGGGTTTGGGAAGGACTCCAATCAGTTAGCGAGGATGGATTTACATGCATACATACATACATATATACATACATACATACATACAGCAGCAAAGAGTCAACAAAGAAACACACGAGGGCGGTAGAAAAAAGGAATGGAGCTCCAGGGTGGCGGACAAAGGGCCACTGAGGGGAGGAAAAGGACCAACTGTGTTCAAAAGCAAGTGATTTTCCTCCTTCAGGACAGGGCAGGTAAAACGTGCATGTACGACGCCATGTACGACGCCATGTACGACACCACGTACGACGCAGCTCTAAGTCTGGATTGGATACACCGCGCGCCTCTCCTCTCCCCTCCCCTCCCTTCCCCTCCCCTCATATAACCCCCCAAGAGAGCCCTCACTTGGAAGGCCACCACGTTGACGTCCCGGTCCAGTTTTATGCCGGCGATTTCGCTGATCTTGAACTGCTTCAGGTCGGAGACGTTGCCTACGGGCGTAATCTTCTGTTCGCCGTCGTCGGGATCCCGATAAAAGTTGAACAGGTTGCCTTGAGTGTCCATCTAGTAGTACCAGAAAATAGCACCAACACATAACCACGTGGAACAGCAACAACAACAACAACATTAAGACTAAAAAAACATATTTCCATCCATCCATGGAATGTTGAAGAATTGCAGCAACACAAAAATGATGGATGGCGGTGGTGGCGGAGTAACACGCCACGACATGCCAGCCGCCTCTGGGTGTTTGCATCCGGGTGTGTGTGTGTGTGTGTGTGTGTTTGTGTGCTCTCTCGCCGCTGCTTTGTGATATCTGCTGTTGCTGCTACTGCTGCTATTGCTGCTGCCACTCCCACCGCTGCTGCTGCTGCTGCTGCTGCTTGTGTGCGTGTGTTTAAATGAACTGAGCTGTGAAAAGTACAAAAATACAGGTTGAAGAAGTAGAGCTGTGCATGTGTGTGTGCATGTGCGTGTGTGTATTGAGTCCCACCATGGCAATAAACCCCCCACCAGCACCAGCACCAGCACCAGCAATATCGAGCCCCCCCTGCCCTCCACACTCCCGAGCACCACCCTTACCCACACCTCTACAACTACCCCTCTCTTACATACCCCCTCCGGCCCCTAGCGGTCCTCTTCTCCACCCACTACCCCCCCACCCACTACCCCAGCTATCTGGCTGCGCCCTTCCTCCATTGGCTACCCGGCTTCCCAAGGAGCTCGGTAACCCCGTCTCGCAAACCCACACACCTACCCACCCATCGACACCCACACCCACACCTACCCAGCCCCCCTAATTCCCATACCTCGCAGACTGACTACTACTCACCGCATACAGACCGACATCCGGATCGCCCGAGTCGTAGTACAAGTCCCCCACCTCGTCGATCATGAAGAACCGGCCCTGATCGTCCTCCGCGGCCGCCACCCACCGACCCCCCGGGGTCTTGAAGTAGACAAACTCCTGGCGGTTGGTCGTGACAGTTACTTCGTCAGTTAGTTAGTTGCGTAGGAAAAGAAGTGAATATTCGTTGGCAACCGACTCAACCCCAAAGAACCAACGTAAAGAAGATCTCCACTCCGCACCACCCAACCAATATCCCCCTCGTGTCCCGGCGAGGAACATTATACACAAAAGGTGCCGTACTTGTACGGTAACGGCCCCTCCTGCCTGGAAAGAACTCCCTCCGCCACCTACCTCCGGTTTGAGGTCCGTATACCCCGCCAAGGTGAAATCCACGGGGGGCTTGTCACCGAACGAGTCGATGGGCATTATGACCTCTTGGCCGCGACGGCGCCGAGTTCAGGGACGTGGATGACAATGCCAAGGGCAGATGGAGGGAGTAGGGTAATGGAGGGAAGGATGAGGGAGGTAAGTGGTGTTGAGGAGGGAGGAGGGAGAGCCAGGGGAAGGGAAGAGGGAAGAGCGACTCACTCCCCTTTGGTGCTTCGATGCCGGAACAGCTGGTTCTTTTACTTTACTCGATCGTCATGATCATGATCATCTATATTTCCTCCTCCCAGCCGCCCGAGCCCCTTTCCTCCCCCTCCCCCTCCCCCTCCCTCCCCCAGTGGGGTGGTACTCACTATGGTTCAGCAGCCACAAGGCCGCACTGCCCCCCAACATCGTCAGAACGATCTCTCGTCGGCTGCGGAACGGGAAGGGAGCGTCGTTCTGTGGGCACCACCAGCAGCACCAGCACCACCAGCAGCACCAGCAGCAATAGCAGCAGGGAGGGGGCAGGGCCGGGCGAAGGGGGGAAGGAGAATGAGGGAGCGCGGGAGTTTGTTTCAGAGGGAAAGGGGGAAATGGAAGGAAGGAAGGAGCATGTCGTTCAGGCGAACAATGAGGTGGGTACTGTTCGGCATCCGGACCCAGACTCGTGCCTGGGCGGGGGGGGGGACCAAGGCGGCGGAGCAAAAAGGGGAAAGGAGAGGGGGAAGCAAAGGTTGGTTGAGCACAGTCTTACCGCGGTGGCGGGGGGCGGTGGCGGGGGTGGCGGCATGTAGCTGGAGCTCCCCGGCCGGGGTGGGGGCAGTGCGGTGGGTGGAGCCTTCACGTCGGGTTCCCAATCCAAGTCACGGTCCACGGCACGAAGACGACTGGGGCTGCGAAGTGGGGCCGCGGCGATGGGAAGGGTGGAGGGTTTTTGAGGTAAGGAAAGGAAAGGATCATGCGAGGGGGAGGCGCTGAGGCAGAAGACGTGAGTGCTACGGCGCTTCACAGTCAGAGCTAGCCTTGGGTTTGGAGAGAGCTGTATTGTTAAATTGCATTGGAAGGGGCGGCTGTCTTGGGGACGGCCCAGGTTTTAGGGTTTGTGTGGTGTGGTAAGTAGGATGGGGGGAGAGGGGATGTACGTAGAAATATGCAAGGAGAAAGTAGACAGCCGACGACCAACGCAAGGTGATGGACGGGAGGACGTCGTTTGGGAAGAGCGGTGATTGGGATGATAGGGGTCAGGGCTGGGGTGGCTAGTAAGGGGTATCTGGGGGATCTGGGTGTATTGTGGTGGGGGGGCATGGATGTACTGCTGCAGAGGCCCGGGCTGCAAGATGTTGGCAATAGAGGTGGTTTATAAGAAGGATGGATATTTGTTGAGGGCGCGTCTCTTTATACGTCCCACGCTAGAACAACCCAAAGGACCGTGGCCATGGGCGTAGTAGGTGGGTGGGTGCGACGTGCGTGTCGGCTGTGGCTACACAAGGACCCTTGGAAACCCAGGTTTCGCGTTTTTATAAGGATGGGAGTAAATTCTAAGGGGTGAAAGGGAGCATACCATAGGCGGCGTTAGTCGGAGCTTTAGGCATCGTGCCGGTCGGAAGCGTCCACCTACCGAGGGCTTAGCCGCCCGCCATGTCGCCGTAAATGATAACATGGCTTCACTGTATTACATCCAGAGTATGAGCAGCTTGGAGCTGAGGAGCTTACAAAGCTGCTGCTTCGCATGATTTGTCGGCGGCGCAGCTGACGTAAATTTGTAATGTAGCTTAAGTACCGTGTTATTGTTGTTACAGTCCTATTTCATTCAGATACCCTTTGTTACCGCTTTTGGTTTGGGTTACACCCTACTCACGTGTTGGGGCTCTGACTTGTAGTGTCTTAAGGACACCAGGTAGCTGGAAGATATTGGTTATAACTCGGGCTACCAGTTTGGGCTTCAAAAATGTCTTGGGGTCTTTTGGGAACCTTTCTGGGCCTTTTTTTTCTTGGTTACCTTAGTCCCTCATGCATATTCAGAGCTCATGCTATCAATACAGGGCTTCAACAATTCATCCTTGACATTTCCACTGAGGAACACGAGGAGGGGCCCCACGTTTAATGATAGCAATGAAGCAATCCCCTCTCCACCCGTACACGTTGACCCGACTTTTGACTAGCAAGCAACATAGCAACTGTAAGCTGCCCAACTTGTTGCCAGCGCATGTGGCCATAGAAAATTCAACTTACACTTCAAATGCGGCTTGCTCCTATCAGGCCGCTGCGCTCACTGCTTCACCGTCTGCTCCCCCACGGCAGCTGAAATCGCTACAGCAGCTCGACATTCTGACTTGGACCCGCAAATTTTAAGCCTTATTTGCTCTAACCTAGTCAAATGGGCCTCGTTTCGTCCTGCTTTCGATCGGATCCCCCGAGAGGTCAGGAGCAGGTATTAAATGTAGAGGACACGGTCCCACAGAGGCCCAGGCCTCCGCCTATCATTCCTCCAGCAGTGGGTATTGCTCAAAACCAGGGCAATCAGGCCACACCAACGGACACCACTGTTACTGGCTCTCCCAAGGTTGGTCGCCCGAAAATTGGCGCCCAGCAGCCGGAAGTAACTCAGCTCATTAAGCAGCAAGCGCAGTCGCTTATTCAACCAAACGCGAACCGCGAAGATGATGTCGATATAAGCAGTGAGATTGCTCCTCTTGCGCCAGGCGCCCCATTCTCATGGCAGAAGGGTCGGCAAATTGGCCAAGGCGCCTTCGGGACCGTGTACCTAGCTTTGGTGCACGCGACTGGCCAAGAAATTGCCGTCAAGCAGGTCAGTCTGCCCCGCGATGCAGCAAACAACGGCAGGGTTTTTGGGCACATCCGGTCTCTGGAGGTGGAGGTTGGACTACTCCGTCGCCTGCGACACGAAAACATTGTGCGCTACCTAGGCACCGAGCGGACTGACGACTGCTTGAACATTTTCCTGGAGTACGTGCCGGGCGGCCCAATCTCCAACAAGCTGTCGCAGTTTGGGCCGCTGCGTGAGGAGACCATCCGTGTTTATACAAAGCAAATCCTGCGAGGCCTGGAATATCTGCACCAGCAGAAAGTCATGCACCGCGACATTAAAGGAGCAAACATCCTGGTCGACACCAACGGCGTCGTCAAACTGGCGGATTTTGGAGCTAGCAGGCAGATTGAGGAGCTGGCCACGATTGGCGGAGGCTCGCGGTCTATCCGTGGGACGGCGAACTGGATGGCGCCGGAGGTGATCAAGCAATCGGGTCATGGGCGCGCCGCGGACATCTGGTCGCTGGGATGTGTAGTCATCGAGATGGCGACAGGTTCGTGCATATAATTCGATGGACGGGTTCCTACACAAAATGGCTCGACGGTTACTTTGCCTTCAGATTTATCTCAGCATTTCCAAGCACAGCCGAAAACACAGGCCTCCATAAGCAATGGAAAATGGCGCCGACACCATCCCTGCACTTGCGCGAGTAGTCCGTCATGCTTGACCCCATACACCCTTTTCCCTCTCATTCCCTCCCACTCTCAACAAAGGTCGCGCGCCATGGAGCAACTTTAGTGATCCGTACGCCGTGATGTACCACGTGGCTTCGACCAAGGAGCTGCCAGCAATGCCCGACACGCTTTCAGCCCACGCCAAAGATTTCCTTACTCTTTGCTTCAACCGCGTCCCACGGGAGCGCCCCAACGCAACACGACTGTTGCAGCACCCATGGCTCCAAAACGTCGTCATCCCCCGTGCGACCGGCCCGCCTCCGACCCTCCTACCTGTTTCACCGTCACCCCAAGCACGACCTGTCCAGCCCCTGCAGCAACTGCAATCTCCATGCGTACCCACTGTGGGCCCGCAGCCGTCACCGAAGGTTATGGTCACGCTGCCTGCCGCTGCCCCCCTGCTGCCCCCGCCTGGAATGCGCTCGCCGCCGTCGCCTATCAATGAAAAGTCCGAGTCGCAGTTTGGATCGCCTGCAGCCGGCGTTACGACCGCGAGCTCTACAACGCCTACCAGCACCCGCGCGCCAGTTGTCAGCACCACTGCAGGCGCTGTTGGTGTTGCGCTTCCGCAGCTCATGTCGCCACCCCAGACGGTTCCCCGTCCGGCAGTGCCGCCATTGCCGCTGGACGCCATGAAGCTAGGCCTCATCACGCAGCAGCAGCAGCAACAGCAGCCACAGCCGCCACAGGCTACAGGGCCAGGCCTTTTCCCGAACCCAGGGCAGCCGCCTCAATCCGCTCCAACAAATGTGCCACCGAAACCGCCCTTGCCACCGGCTGCGGCACAGCAATCCTCGCGAGGGACTAGCTGCCAGAACCAGGTTAGTTTGTGACAGCATTGCGTGATTGGGGATTGGGTAGGGAGTGTAGGCACCAAGCTAGGGAAACTTTGAGGGGGCTAACCAAACAGGATGGGGCCATCACCGCGATTATCACGCGAACGGATTGGGTCTGCCTCACCTGGTTGGATTGGCTGTATGCCAGCAAGCACCTTTCATTCTGCGTGAAGTCTGTGCCGTGTCTGAGCGAATGTCCCATATGTGTTGTTTTATTGCAGCATGACACCCTGGTGGACAGTGGGGCGGTGCAGCTCCTGCTCCAGAACATTCGACAGCAGCAAGTGCAGATGCAGCCCGGGCAATTGCAAGATATGTATGACAGCATCTGCATGGGTGTGGGCATGACCATCAGTGTCGGTGCCGACGCGGCGGGGGCAATGGCTGGAGCAATGGCAGGGACCGTAGCAGGGACAATGCGCGACGTCAACCCCATGATTGAGCCCTCGTGGATGCCAGAGCAAATTCTGAAGCAAAAGGTAAGGCGGGAGGTTAGGATCAGGTTGACGGGTTGTTGCAAAGAGCCTGCAGCAGCCAACGCTTGGTACCCGATTATGACGCTTGCCTGGTATTGGAATTCGCCCTTGCCGTGTTAGCCCGATTCCCTAAGCGTCCATTTTGACTATCGCAAGACCCAGGTCGCATCGTAAACGTTCCAGATGCAGGTGCCATGCCCGCGAACTCGCTGATTAAAATGCTCCGCTGTGCATGGTTGCGTCCCTGAACGTCTCCTTGTCCCGTAGGCCTTTTTCGACCAGATGAAGAAGATGGGTACCCCTCCGGCAACACCGCCCGAGTCTCCATCTGCCAGCACCGAGGCCGCGGCCGCCACAAACAAAGTCACAGGATCAGGCGTGGGTAGTGCTCCCTGTAGCAGTAGCGCTGGCCCCGAGGCGCCCAGCGCTACCTGCGTGGTGGAAAACACTAAGCCGCCACCGGCTTTCGCTGGTGAAGTCGTGCCGGCTCACGTGACGCCTCTTCCTCAGACGTCACCTCGCAGCGGACCGGGCACACACCGGAGCGGTGCAGGCACATGGCGAAGTGGTGCGGGTACACAGCGGAATGTGACACGCGCCATGCCGCTACGGTCACGGCCACCTTTGGCAGGGCTGTTTGCAGCAGCGTACGAGGTGAGGAGACGGCCACTGGGAAATTGCTCACCCTGCACATGAGCTTTCCTGCTTGAATTTGGGGTATGAAAGCCTAGGAGCTGCTGGTGTGGAGAGTCGTGACGTTGTTAATTCCTTTGCATACGCACTCGTATCGTCCCCCTTATTGGCGTTGCACCCACCAGCAAGAGAACGCGGACACGCACATGGAGCCGGATCAGCCGTTGTCCGCCAGGCAGGAGTCGCCTCGCGTCGTGCATCCACGGCAGCCAGCCATGAAGCCGACGCCAACGCAACCACCGCGGGTTGTCAGCGCCTCACGTCGCGCACTTGAGGTAAGCTTCCTAGCGAGATCCCATTCCATTGCCTCACCGGCATACTGCGGCCCTGATGCTTTGCAGCGCTAGGGGGTCTGAAGTGGCCGACGTCTAGCAGATTAACTGCTTGTGATACTTATGTGCTTAGTCGGAGCAAAGGCCAGGGATACTGTTATTGGATGAGATTCTCAAAACCGCTGCATGCATTCCTGGTGACTTTGATCCTCGAAAGCTTCCTGGCCACGAACACTTCTTGGCTGATCGCTGACCAACCTATTGCGCAGGAGGCCGGCATCCTGCGCAATGCCACTCTGGACTCCGCCCGTGCGAAGCAGTGGCGCGACGAGCTGGTGGCCGAACTGGAGGCAGAGCGGATGCGCGCGGGCGTAGGAACTAGCATGGCGGCTGTTGCTGTGGGGCCGGTGCCAGGTGGCAGGCCTAGTGTTGCGGACCTGTAGTACGTCTTCGGTCGCGTCCCGCGAAGGCATCGCTTTAGTGACCAGAGCTCGTGAGCAAAAGTGCGGTGCGCGTGTGCTACAGAGGGGGGACCGGGGCACAGCAGGTTAGGGTTGCCTCGCGGTTGCAGCTTGCGGTTTGCATAGGATCTCGTTTGTCGCGGCGAGTCGTATGAAGTATAAATGTATTCGTGTCCCTGGTGATGCTGACTGACCGCCTTCCTCGTTACGTTGCAGACCGGCCGAGCCGTGAAAGGCGGCCTTAGGGGGAGTGATGCATTTGGCGTATGGGGTGTCTGTTAGTTCGTGTTTGTGTGTATGCGTCTGTGTGGTGGCGTTTGGGGCAAACTTCGGCAGAACAACCGGACTCTCCGATCTATCTGGTCATAGCTCTCAAGAGTTACACTAGGCATACTGTCTAGGGACGTGATTAGAGCGTCCATGCCCTAGATAGATCCTACGCCAAGGGTAGCCATCATCTTGTTTGACACCGTGCCCTCAAGAGTATCTTGATATGGTCGTCGTGATGCAGGTGCAGCATACACAGGGCTTCCCCTTCATACATCTATGATTAATTGGACATGTGCTTATTAAGCACGATGTTAGACTGCACGCATGTCTTTTGGGTTTCTTGCGTGAGCCCCTATTCCTTGTTTCTGTGGCCGACTATGATTAATGTACATAGATCGCGACAGGCATATTAACACTGACCACTATTCTTTTTTGCAAAGCAAGGGCGAACCTCAAAACATATGGCCTCTTGGTGACCTAAATTAAGGTGGGGACGAAAGACTTTGCTATACAATTCATGGCCACCTGTAACGGTAGTACTCTGGACCGGTCCTCGCTCTTAAGCGTCTCCAGGAAAGAACAGAACTCAGCACGGTATCCCACTATGGCTACTAACCCTATGGCACAACCGACAAGGCAACCGGGAACACCAGAAATCCATCGTCTTCCGCTGGGAAAGATGCACACAGATGACACTTCCTAATGTCTGGACCGAACGGGCGAAGAATCACCCAACATTAGATGCATAGGGCGGCCGTTAGCCCGCATCACATGGTCGTACGGCAGGCATTGCACGGTCAATCCGATGCCATTGGGTCATCCCCCAACCGCTTCATGTTCGGTGGCGTGACGGTACCGCCAAATTCTACGTGCCTTCGTTTCAGCATGTCCTTCTCCCACTTCGTACCAAATTGCCTAGTTACGCGCCAGGTACGATTTTGCCTGCGCTCCCTATAATAGCCGTATTTGCACCATGGTCGTCGTGACGCTTTGCATTGCGGCGATTGCACATGCACGCTGAAATATTTGCGCAAAGGCACAGCAGCTGTAGCAAAGTATACTTTTTCCGCCGGTACAAGTTATTACCCGCTGAAAACCTAAACAGGATATAACTCTTTTCCCAAACAGTGCTGCAACAACAAAAAAACAATGTCCGATCTTTCACTCTAAGAGAAACCCACTTCATGAGCGCACCCTCAGAGCTGCGTCGACTCAAGCACAACGGGAAAGATCCCACCCTCCCTTTCCTAACCACCTTCCTGCCAATGCAGGTCATCCAGTTTCTACCACCATTCACTTTTGCCGTACATCCTCTGCTAACCTCACCATTGCACCTCACCCAGCCGCCACCCAACAACGTGTGCGGCAAGCCGGCCCGTACGGCGCTCCTCGCCATCACTCCGAATGTGAAGACCTAGCCGCCACGCCGCCGCCGCCGCTGCCCCCACGGGACCGTGCCACTCCCCACCTCACGTGGTTATCACACGACGACGCCGACGCCACCCGCCGCCCACCCCAGCCGCCACCCGCCGCCAACGGAGCTTCCCGTAATCGCTGCAGCTTCTCCGCCAGCAACGTCCGTAGAGACTCGGACCTCGCCGCTGCATCCCAGTGCCCCAAACGGTCCGCTCGCCGCAATAGCTCCTGTGCATAAAAATAATCAGCTATATTAAGAAGAAGAAGAAGAAGAAGAAGAACGGACAACGACACACATAACAGAAGGGTTTTGTGAACTGAGCACATCACCAGGGCGCCCAGTACAGAGGACCTCACTTGCGGGGAGAAATGAACGATCTTCAAGAACGGTCGTGGAGCACATAATAGACAGAGCGAGAGAGAGAGGCAGCAGCCGTAGCGATAGCAGTTGTAGGAGATCAACAGAATCGGAAGCAGCACCAAAAGCAGCCTTCGGGCGTAAACCTTCATCCAAGCCCTTCTCTCCAACCTGGACTCTATAAGCTACTAATTGTGCAACTTGCCCTGACACATATTGGCGTACCTGTGAGCTGTACGGCGCCCCGAAACCACTTCCACCGTCATCGTATTCGAAATCCAGCGGGGCCGCGTCCTCCAGCGCTCCCGCTGCCTGCCAGGCCGACCGGTCGCTAAGGTAGTCTGGGTCACTGGCCGTGTGGCGACTGCTGGAATGACCCATGGGTCGTTGTGGGCGGCCCATGAAAGTCATGAACGTAGAGCCTTCGCGGTCGTCGCCGAAAGAGCACCGCTCCCAAAACCCCACCGCCGCCGTCGGCGTCACGACGCCAATGTCGTACACCGAGCGCGCCTGGATCTGCTGTAGGAGAAGTTTGACTAGACGGCGGCCGATGCCCTGGCCTCGTACCGCTGGGTGTACGGCAACGTCATATATCGTGGCCATCTTCAACGGGCGGGAAGGGAGAACAGCGACGTGTTGAGGAAGGTGCACCCCGGGGCATGATGAAGTGGTGGTTGGTTCATGATTACTGCGGTCATCTGGGCCCTATCCCTTTGTGATCTACCGCACATTAATATCGCTGATAATAACAATCGCAATACCAGCAGCAGCACCAGCGCCAGCACCAGCAAGGACGTCCCAGGAACCCCACAACCACATCCTTTGTGACAAAAGGCTGATACAACAAGTACGGCACACGTTACAAGACGACAAACCCACCAAGTTGTTGTCACCCGTGGCACGGGCGAACCCCACCAAACATCTTCGCGGAGCGTTGCGGATTGATGATGATGACGAGGAGGAGGAGGAGGAGGAGGAAGGGGGGGGAGATCCGGGGGATTTCCAATGCCAAGAAGGTTGTTGCTGGGTGGGTGCGGAAGGTGGCGAAGCCGTGACGGCGGACGCTGAAACGGCACAGGCGCTTCCGCCACTGCCATTACTCCCAACCCTGTCACTACTGCTATCGTTGCTACTGCTGTTGTGGCTACTGCTACAGCTGCTGTAACTAACCGTACTGCGGCCATCGCTATTATTGCTGGTTTTCCTTCCTGTGGGCATAAGCCAATTCCAGTCCATGTCCGGTACGCCTGTGGGCCACGTGCGTGTGTGTGTGTGTGTGTGTGTGTGTGTGTGTGTGTGCGTGTGTGTACGGAACTCATGGTCAGAAGAGTAGGGAGGTACGGAGAGTGTTGAGTAGGTGGACTAGTAGGGTTTTAGGGTTTTCTGTAAGCCGTGAACTCCTTGTCATTTTTAGTGTATTCTAAACGAACAACTATTTTGTTAACACGCAGAGTATAAGCGATGTGAGCAACGCCCGTCGACATCCCCTTTCCCTTTGTCATGAGTGCCAGTCGACGACGACATGGACAGGCAGCGTACCAAGGGGGGTCGGCGGCTTAGCGCCGTACGTGTCCAAGCCAGTTGTGGGGGGTTGTACAGAAGGCGACGACGGCGACGATGACGAAGACAGCTGCGAGAGCAGAGAGGCAGAAGATGGCCCTGATCCTGCTGTTGCTGTTGCTGGTGATGATAATGATGATGATGATGATGATGATGATGACCATGTCACGCATGGTGATGGGGATGCCAGCGAGCTAGGCGGCGATGATAATGCACCGTATATTCGTTGCGATAAGGTCGGAGGCGAGGTCCCCCACCAGGGCGACGAGGACGACGAGGCCAGGGCGGCTGCCCCCCTCCTCCCGGCCCCCTCGTCCGCGTCCGTCGTGATGGACATCTCCCCCTTCCCCACAGCCCCCGCTCCAGAACCATAATTCCTGCTCCCGTGTTGATTGAAGCTTAGCTCCCTCTCCCGCTCCCTCTCCCTCTTCCCAGCACGTCGAGCTGCTGCCGTCAACGCGCATTCCGCGTTGCTCACCTCCTCCTGCTTGTGCTTGTGCTGGTGCTGGTGCTGCTGCTCACGATGGCTATCACGATAATGGTCATGGCAGTTATTCTGCTGACGATTCTGACCTTGCCAAGGATATGGCCCCATCGGCAGTGGCGATGCATCCTCTGCGGCGGCAGCGGCAACTTCACCGTACACGTCCCAAGTGGTAAAGCAGGCCACAGTCGCCACGCTGCGCCGCAGAGCTACCTCCAGCTTGGCGGCGTGGCGCAAGCCTGCGAACAGTTTGGAAACGCGCGGAGCAGGCAGAATCCAATGGGGGGCTCACCCATGGGCCCGAGATCCCTTTCCTCAATAACACACATCCATCATCCAGCCCGTACATCTGTACACGTACTTTCCGTACACACCCTGGGACATCCCGCAGTAGCGCCCAGCAGTACAGGGGGGAATTAACGGACGTACCCTCCGGTGAGCACCAGTAGCTGTAGTTCTGGCGGCAGAGGGGGATGGCATCCGGGCCCACCACGACGTCCTTGTGGCTGACCGCCAGCAACATGCCCAACTCCATGGCGGTGATGTCTTGGCGGTTGATACTGTGCCGCGCGGGTAGGGGTAATAGGAAGCTTTGGCCAAACTGTTATCTTTTCGGGTATGTCGTGAAGAGATCGTGGGAATTGTTGAGTACGTGCTTATGTCTCCGGCAAGCCTTGGGATGGAGGACTGGTGACACGGTTGTTCGGGCAAACGAGGCCAAGGGTGGAGGACTGTGCAGGGCTTTGGTCTTGTCGGTGGGCACAATGCTTTCGATAAGACTCAGTTATGTGCGAGGAACCCATCAGCAATTCAAGCACATGTAAGGAATTCTATGGCAGCCCAGAGACACACTTGTGGAAATCATTCCGCAAAAGTTGGTGAAGGTAACGTGGATATCGCGCACCGGTCCATGACCACACCTGTAAGACAGTGGTGGATATGACTTTGATCGTGAGCTGTTGCCCAAAGGATTCCAAATTGCTTGCACCTTGCAAACACATGCATGGCGCCCGAGAGTTCCGCGAACGGGCCGCGTGTCCAAACAGTTGACCTTCGTGAACATGTCATGAGCTTCCAAACGCAAGCGGCAGGCCAAACGTCAATGATTGCTAAGGAGTCAACACAGGGCCAATGTGTAAGGCAAAGTATCACAACATTGAAGGACACGAAACCTGTCGGTGTCACCTTAACATAACATGGTGTAATCCATTCTTGTCTACTGCCAAAGTACCGCTGAAGTCCTAAAAACGTACCTAACGGGCTGCATCAGTCATCCTCGTGGTCATCATGGCCACGTACCCTAAAAACATGCAAATGGGCCACTAAACACACAAAATAGTTGCTGAACCTGAAAAGGTAGCCACGCTTTACATACGATCATCGAACGGGGCACTCATATCCACATCCAACTCCCACATCCATACGTGCAGCCATTCACTTCGCGGTGGTGCACTGCACAGGTCCTAGCTCTATTCTATTGCGCAAATGAACATGATACAGTTAGGTTCTCCAGTGCGCGCCGGCGCTATTCTGGACCGACCTCGAGCAGCGTGCCGGGCTTCGCTTGCTGGGGCCGGCCGTAGCGCCAGAAGCCGTATCAACGCTTGCGCCACCAACCCCAAGACCCGATCACGTCAAAAGGGTACCCTCCAAGTGTATACCAATCATCCATCTAGCCAGGCACAATTAGCTACTTCCACGCGCCTCGAGCTGAGTCTTCAAACTCAGCGGTCCGCCATGTCTGCCAAGAACCTGACAACCGCCCGCAAACCACTTTCCTGCTCTCGTCCTGCGTTCTAATATCTTTGCGTTAAGCATTGCCACTCTCGCTTGTCTTGGCGTTGTCGGTGCCTTGTCTGTGCGGCAGACAACCCCCTGACGGTGGGCGCTGTGACGGTGATGACAGAGACGCTGAGGCTCTTCGGAGTGGGGTAAGGCCCACGTAGGATTTTGTGTGTTTGTACGATCGTGCGTGTGTATGTATGTCTGCCTACGTTTGTGGAAATTATATGCAAGAAGCGAGAGTCAACCGTCATTGCTCTTAGTGTTTGGCGATGGGACGGGTGAAACCCTAAAACCCAAACACATACTTAAGGGACCGGGGGCTAGGGAACCGGGGTTCGTGTCGTACTGGAGTGTACTATGTGTATCTCTCTTTGTGAGGACGTATTTCCTTCGTCCTAATCCTGCCGTACCGTGTACGAGCTAATGCAACTAATGTACGACAGTTGATGTACGGCAATTGACGGATTGACTGCTGCTTATTATTGGTATTCTGGCGTCGATCGAACTTGATTGCCAGGCGTGAGCGGTACGAAGCCGTGGCGGCAGAGCCGCCCCGAAACCGGCCATTACGGCGTGGCGATGTGGCGGGCCTTATGCGGCGCATCACGACCGACTTTAAGCAGGTACGGAAGAATTTCGCCGTACGTCGCCTTTGGCCATATGGAAGTGTTGGACCCCCTTCTAACACTCATTACCATTACCATTACCATTACGGCACCGCCCATACACAGAGCCCCACCCTACCCAACCGCCTGCTGCCCCACACCCCCTTCTCCCGCCGCCAAAGGCCTATCTAGTCACGGGAATTCTGGATGATTCCATTTACGATCCAGATTGCTTCTTCGCGGACCCCACCGTCGCATTCCGAGGTGAGGTTACTTCGGTGCTGCTGCTGCTGTTGCTGCTGCCAAGATCTGATTCTTTGGTGTGGAGGGTTGGGGGCCGGGAAATACATGCAAACCGGAAATCTATGCAAGTATGCAAGTCAAGGGACAAGGCAATGAACGGGGAGGAGAGGGGGGTTCCGAGGCGCGTTCTGTGTGTGTGTGTGTGTGTACGTGTGTGTGTGTGTGTAAGGCACAACTTAATTGATTACTATCATTGTCAAAACCAAAATATCCCTTGCAGTGGAAATTTTCGGTTGACAAGGCCGCTTCCCTCCCCTCCAGGGGTGGATCTGTGGAAGCGCAATTTGGCGTTACTGGTGCCCTTCCTGGACCAACCTGCCGTACAGCTCAAGCGAGTGCAACGGCTGGGCCGGGACGAGCAGGGCGCGGAGGTAGTGCGAGTAGGTATCCCTTCCATGAGCCTCGTTTCTTGCTGCCTTGGCGCCGCTATAGCAGCAGCAGTCACAGCAGCAGCAGCAGTAGCAGTAGCAATTGCAGTAGCAGCAGCAATTGCAGTAGCAGCAGCAATTGCAGTAGCAGCAGCAATTGCAGTAGCAGCAGCAGTGGTAGTAACCGCAGCCATTGCAGTAGCAGCAGTAGCAGCAGTAGCAGTTGTAGCAGCAGTTACAGCAGCAAGGAAATGCGGGTTTGTGCCGCTTATTGGTAGCCTATAAACACCTCCACCACCAACAACACCAACACCAAGAGCAGTTGGTCCTTGTCCCGCACTCGCCATATACACACACATAACGTCATCTGCAATAGTCTTTCCCCTCTCCTTCCCTACTACCACATGCATACATACATACACACACGTACAGGCTGAGTGGCGGCTGCGGACGTTCCTCCGATTGCCCTGGCGCCCTCTCATCGACATTGACGGGGCCACAGAGTACACTCTCAACGAGGAGGTCGGTGTACGGCATATGGGGCGCATGTTTGTATGAATGCGTGTATGTATGTGTGTCCTTATTTTGCTGCTTATGTCAGCTTTTCCTAACATCCATATTTTCTGATCATTGGTGTTGTAAAGCGACAGATGCGACAAATGCAAGAGTGAATCAAAATGTATTTATACGGTATACACGGAATATGACAACTGCAAAAAATAAAGCGCGGGGAAAAATCCCAATTCCAAAGAATTGATTTGAAGCCTAAATAGGATTTGGCGGCGCGGACTAACGAAGGAAAGCTCACACACACACTACCTCATTTCTTTCCTCTTCTCACTCCTCGCCTTCCTCTTCCCCTCCCCGCGCATTGCATCCTTTCTGGTACGACAGTCCAATCGTATTGTACGACATGTCGAGTCCTGGGGTGTGAGTGGGACGCAGGTATGTGGGTAGTGAGGTTGGGGGAAGGGAAAGCGGTGCAGTGCGGTGCGGGCTGTTGGGATCATTTCCATATTAGTATTATATTTATTTACATATACATGGAATATTACCTCTAAGCCCTTGCTCGCGCAGACACACATCATGTACGGCTGATTGGGTTGCCTCGCGAGCCTCTCCCTTAGCCGCTGCTACTGATGCTACTGCCGTTACTGCTGTTACTGCTACTGACGCTACTGCCGTTACTGGTGTTACTGCTATTGACGCTACTGCCGTTGCTGCAGCCACTGCTACTGACGCTACTGCCGTTACTGGTGTTACTGCTACTGCCGTTGCTGCAGCCACTGCTACCTACGTTGCTACTAATGCTACTGCCCTTGTTCGTTCATTCAGGCGCTGCTGCAAATGTTTCGACCCTCCAACAACAAGAGCAGCTAACCGGCTATTCCTTATCGCCACCGGATTCGTTGTTGTTATTTATGAATGTTTTTGGTTTGGAAGGGAAGTGATGTTCCCGCCCCCTCCCGGGAGTATCCAGCTATCTCTGTATCTGCTTCACTCGTCCGTGATTCGCCTTGACCTCTAGGGTGGGTGGGAGGAGGGGTTTCAGAGCCGCAATTATAGGGGGGCGGCCCGGGGCTGGTAGGGGGGAGTTATGAGTTCAGATGGAAAAATGTGTGTGCGTGTGTGTATGTGAGGGAGAGAAAAGTTCATTTTGTACTTTTACAAAGACAAATATATTTTTATTTTATTTTTTGCACTTAACGGAACAGATGGAACAGTGCAATACACTGATACCTCTTTGCTACGGCGGAGTTCGATGTCTGCATGTATGTATGATGTGTGAAACAGGGGGGTGTATCTTCGCCCGTGGCAGCTACCCTGCGAAACCCTGCCTTCCCCGGTATTTCGGGGCACCCTCATCCAGTAACCCTAGTCAACTTCTCAGTGGATCGCTCAGGTTCCGCACCCACCACCAGCATCCAACGGAATCTGCCGGGTCGACAGCGGCCCAACTCCGTTCCTGGTCGGCTCGCAGGTTAACTTTATCCCAGGTCACCACCGTCCATCAACTAGGGGCGCAATGCCTTCCACCATCGGAAGGACTTTTGACCCTAACGGGTATCAATCCCGGGATCGCCCGGGGGTATGTATGTATGTATGTTGTTACAGGGTGGTTAACTTCGCCAGCGGCCCCCTTTCCCGGGGCAGTCCCTGCTCTCCCCTGCTAGAGGGGCACCCTAATCCGTCACCCCATCCGACTTCAGAATGTATTCGTTGGGTTCGGCAACTCACCACCAGCATCCAACCAAATCTAGCGGATCAACGGCGCATCAACTTAGTTCCTGGTCAGCTCGCAAGTTGATATTATCACGTCCTACACCGTCCATATGATGGGGGGCCACCTCCCATTTCATCACTCCTCAAACACCCGAGGAGCCGGCAGGCGGATTTGAACCCGGGTCGGCCGGGAGTATGTATGTATGTATGTCGTTACAGGGTGGTATAGCTTCGCCAGCGGCCCCCTTTCCCGAGGCAGTTCCCTGCTTTCCCCTGCGAGAGGGGCACCCTAATCCGTTCACCCCATCCGACTTCAGAATGTATTCGTTGGGTTCAGCAACTCACCACCAGCATCCAACCAAATCTAGCGGATCAACGGCGCCTCAACTTAGTTCCTGGTCAGCTCGCAAGTTGGTATTATCACGTCCTACACCGTCCGTAAGATGGGGGGCCACCTCCCGTTTCAACACCTCTTAAACACCCGAGGAGTCGGCAGGCGGATTTGAACCAGGACATCCGGGACCTCTTCCAGCCGCCTTCAAAATAAATTTCGCTACCGGGACTCGAACCCGGGTCTCGAGAGTGAGAATCTCGTATCCTAACCGCCTAGACTATAGCGAATTGTTGATGTATGAAAATGTTAAAGTGCACAACCAATGGACGACTCTGGATGCCAGCACAAGGATCTGTTGGTACGGCTACCTGTACTGCCATACTGCTGTACGGCATATAGAGCTGGACGGAAGATGGATGCGTCATTGAGCGATTGCGGAAACTGCGGGGTTGTTGTCTGGAGGTGCGAGTGTGACGAGTTGTTTGCGTTGGTCACGAATATATATTCTTTCTTTGCGGATAAAACATAAAAACTGTAAAACATTTACCTATAACGGCATATAACCAACAAGTGAGTTCCACACATGAAGAGGGGGCGTAACTTGCCTTTCAAGTGTTATCTCAATATTCGCAAAGTAGATTTCTTCCTGTATTGAGATCGTTCGGATTATCCTTGGTTGTCACCAGCACTCGGTAATAACCCTACCAAATCGGCAGTCGGTAACTGGTCGCTTCGGTACCAGCTGGCCGGTATGGTTACCGACATAACGAGCTAACGGCCCAGTAACTGGGGGGTCACCCACCGGTAAGGTTACCGGTCGGCAAGGTAACCGACTGGTAAGGTTACCGGTCGGTTAACAGGTTGTTATCTCAAAATGTCGGTGATTCTAACAAAGCGTTCGGTTGTGAAATTCGGTTACCGGCCCTTTTATACCCCGTGCGCGCTGCGGCGCACGCTGCTTCTGCTCATGCTGCTTTGGTTGCAGTGCGGCCGCAGCGGTTCTCTCGCCCTTTCCTTGGACTTTCCTAGAAGAGCTGTTTATGGCTGAGCTCCGCCACGTTCCGCAACTCCAGGAGCCCATCCATGCCAGCTCCTCCGCCAGCATTTCCCTCCTTGCCTTCTGCTCCGTCTCACGCACATCTCATACATGTCCTCCAGTTCTCCAGTTCAACTGGCCACGGGGAACTGGGTTCGCGCACTACCAGGAGGCTATATAGATATGCTCAGTCCGTTCTTGTTGAGATGGAGGCGGCGCGCAATGCACCGTCCATGGATTTGCACGGGCGCCTAAGCAAAGTGTATACACCAGATTCATACATCACTCCAACACCCCCCCACCCGCCACACCCGGCCCTTGCAGCTGTCCATAATAATGAGAGGTTATAGTCCAAACACGACCCTGTTCCTCCACTTGCAGCCCAGTGCCGTGCAGCCTCCCTGCGGATTACTGTGGGTCAAGTGGCTGCACCGGGGCCGAGCCCTTTTCGGCTTTGAAGGAGCTGACTACCCTAAGTCTGTGGGAGGTGGTAATGGCGGGAGTGTAATGGTGATGGGGAGGGGTATTGCTGATCAAAGTCCAATCCGCCCCCTATCCTGCATAAGGCCTCAGAGGCGCGTGCAAGCAAGGACCAAGAGTAAGAGTTACTGTCGGTGCTGTGTTGCCCGCTAAACAGAAACTCCTATTGGACGAGATGGGACGAGCAGCCTAATAATGCCGTACGCCGGTTTCCGGCAGGGGCTGGCTGCTGTGGAATTGCGCCCTTCTCGCCAACCCGCTGTTAACGGTTCTAGTCAGTCCAGTTCGGAAGCTTTGTTTATTGTCAGTACAATATTACAACCGTCTATCAGCGTCCATCAGTCGCCAAGTAGGACGCGGGAAAATGCCAGAGAGCCAAAAAACGCCAAAGCGCGCCCAAATAATGTTTTTTCTGCAAAAGCCAGCAGGGCAGTAGATATCACAGGACTAAATTGACCGGGCCATCGCCTGCAACCAATGATATCTCTCGCGCTCTCACCTCTCCCCCTTTTCCCGCTAGGTTTGTTATTACCCCCACCGCCCACCACCCACGACCGTCCATTCACCAAGACTCAACAACCCCACGGAGGAAGGCCCAGGCGGAGACTCCAGCAACGATCTAACTTTGAATTTAAACCTTCAATATTGGACACGTGCTAATTTTTCAACAAGTCAAGGCCATGTACGACAGCGACAAATAGTATACAACCGTATACGACAAAAGCAGCCGTACATACGAGCGCCTCGCCGCACGTCCTTTGAAATTGTCACTCCGCACTTGAGTCAAATGGTGGGTTATTTTGCCCGATTTTGTCCATCTTTCCGGATCTCCGTTAATCTTCCTGTTCAAAAGAACCTGCGCATATCGTATAGAACGCCATGTACCGTACACCTGTTATTATGCAACTGCCGTACCTCCATGCAGGGTCGTACTTACGATCGCAACCGCGGCTGATGCGATGTGATGACGGCGAGTGAGAGGCTCACCGGGGTCATTAGTTCGGGTGGAGCTAACTGTGTTAAAACTAGGAGTGAGGGATTCCTCTGATCCTTGTTACTGCTACTGCTGCTACTGCTACTGCTGTTATCGCCGACATCGCGCTATGTTGCTCGTCAGCAGCCGCAGCTTCAATCCCAAAATTCGCTGCATCGTCCAGGCACTGCTGCTGCGCGTCACCCCTTCCATGGAACCCACCTTTCCGCCCCCCCGGCCCCACTCCACCCCCCCACCCCCCGGTACCGGTACCGGGGGTGATGCTGCCAGTGATGCTGCCGCCCGGCCGACTGCTGCCACCACAGAAGAAACCAAGCAGCTTCTTTAACGACCTTTCAACCACCACATATCAAACCTCAAGCCTCACGCCGCACCTCACACGCCAGGTTGCAACCCACCCCACCCCCAGGCCATGTCACGCGACATAACTCCACCCCTATCCCTCCTCCCCTATCCCTCCTCCCTCGGCATTTGTGTACTGAAGTACACTTCAGTACACATGATTCAACCCCTTCCCTTCATCCTTTTTCCACTTGGAAGAGGGAAATGGTGCTTACGGCAACAACTTCAGCTTGCCAAAGGCATAACAGCTGCTTTTCAAGTGCTTTTCGACGGCAGCATTCGCCGCATCCGGCTCCATCGTCACCCTGCTCAGTATGTCACGCACGCGTTCTAGAGCCTCTAACAGCGCATCGGGGTTTTCCGCCAACCCGGAATTGGGCAACTTCTCCTTAAGCTGCTGCAGTCCCATAACCGACCAAGGATTGTTCGGGTTGCGAGCCAGATCGTCGATAAATGCCTGCGGTGAACATGGTTCGGTAATTCCGTTAGGGGGTGATGGTTTTCGGTTAGGTAGTTACTTGGCGGCAGTTCGTTGACTGTCGATTGTTGGTGGTTAATAAAATAAAAGTGAATCGTTCCGGAATTATTACCAATTGAAATTCATTTCTTCGACGCCCAGAGAGCCATCATTATTATTATCGTTATTATTATCATCGTTATAATATTATATTTATTTTATGATCGTTACCTGCATCGCCTTTAGGAGTTGTTCCTTCGCCGTATGATTTCCTATCGTCATCAGCGCCCAGCCCAGGCACTGCCGTACAGGTTGTTGCGCAAGGCGGGGTGGCTCATTGTACCCGCCGCTATCCTCCAGCTCGACTGCCTGCTCAAGGGCCTTAAACCCAGATGTGAAGTTCAGTCCGATGAAGGAGACCCGGGCCTCCGCCATCTGGGACAGCAGGGAGCGGGAAGAAGAGGGAGGAAGGGACAAAAACACACACGATGCCAAATCACGGAGGGAGAACGAATGCCGGCGTCCAAAGTTGCTAGTTGTGAGGAGGGAGGGAGGGGGGACGGAGGGAATCATATGCGAGAGGGAGGGAGTGATTAGATGGTTGTTCAGCAAATGTGAAGGGCCGGCACACGTCCATACCTCCCCCCCCCCGGCACGTCCATAACGGTCGGAACGGCGGGAGTTGAAGTGAATGCCGTGGTGAGGAGGCAGTACAAGCCCCAAGCTGCTGGATGATGCGTTATGGGGGATTGCAAAGCATGGAAGGGGGGGGGCCCAGGAAGGGATGCGGGATCATGGGGCCCGGAAAGGGGGGGGACTTTGCTCTGGGTCGGGTTACGGAAAAGGAGTCGGTCCGGGTCGTTACACGGCGCTACCAGGCGAGCCGCACACCACAGCGCCGGAGCTCGGGGAGTGTGAGCCCCCTCCGAGCCACCCCCCTCTCTGTGTGGCCTCTCATCATCCACCCAAACCCCATCCATTACCCCTTGCACGGGACACAGCCACACACAAAAAACTTAAAACCATTGAGCTCCGAATCCAAACCCTTAGAACCCTTCCTCCCCCACACCTTTCTCCCCTCCCAATATATACACACGCGTGTACACACATACATTCCCCGCTCACCTTGAGCATCACATTGGCCATGAGTTTGTACCCTGGGGTAAGTACGCCAAGGCCCGGCCCCGGTCCCGCCTCCTCCTCCTCCCCGCCTGCTCCCCCATGCTCCTCTCCTCCACTTCCACCATCAGGGGGTATCGCCGCAACCACGCTCTTCAGCGTCGCATGCAAATCCTCTAGAAGCTTCTGATCCGCAAGGAAAACAGTCACCGAAGCGCTACTGCTACTGCTATTGCCGTTCATGCCCGCGATGATGTCATTAATGTTGGCCGCCGCCATGATATCCGTTTTGGAAAGTCTCTGCAGCTCGTGTACCTTATCGGCCACTGCCATGAGCTGGGCGTAGAGCCACACAGCCACCGCGAACTGGGGCCCATCAGCCTGAGTGGGGTGGGGTGGGGGAGGGTGGGGGAGGGAAAGACGAACCACACACGAGTGAAGCTGCTGTGTGGGTGTGGGTGTGTGCAAAACTATACGAGGACAAAGCACACGTTTGAAGGAATAATGGGGAGGCAAGGAGAAGGAATAAACAAGCAGGATATGTTCTGGCGGTATTTCCCCACTACTACTATCCCGGCATTGGGGAGCGGGGGGGGGGAGTGTAGGGTTTGGTTGAAAGCTTAGGGGAGCTTGCTAACGACGCCAAAGGATATACACGTACATACATACATACATACATGCGTACATGCATGCACTCACAGGTTGCCGCCGGTAATCCATAGCCGTCAACAGCGCCGGCCGATTAGGTGGCGCCGGCACCCGATCTCTAACCACTGGATCCAAAGCAGGATCCAAAAACACGTCACTTGTCGTACTGCTGCCGCCGCCGGCTGCGGCTTCGCCGAGCAGCGACTTGTTCACTCTGTCTGCCAGGTCGTTTAGAACTGCAGTATTGAGGGGCAGAACGGTTTCGGGGGGAAGCGGCTCACCCGCGACTTGAGACCAGTTTCCAAACAGCGTGTAGACCAGGAGGGGGGCGGGCCAGTGGGGGCCCACAACGGCGGCGTTGTCGGGGACGAACCTGGAAAGACCGGTGGGAGCCGGGTGTGTGTGTGTGTTGGGGGGGGGGGGGAGAACACGAACCACAGACGAGTTCAGACAAGAGGCGAGAGGGAGGGAAATTTGGATGTTTTAGGGTTTTAAAACAATTAGAAGTTTTAAATTTGCAGGGGCTTACATAATTTATATAAAAATGATTTTAAGGGGTCCCCCGGGGCACCCCCCCCCCCCGCTAGAACCCCCCTGTTACCAACCTTGATATTTCCCGCAGAACGCGCGCATACACCTGCGCTTTCTCGTACATCCCCGCCTGAGACGCTGCAAACACTAGCATAGCCACGTTGTGGTCGGCATACAGCGGAGTACGACAATCCCAGCTTGCGTTGACAGA